CTCTCTCTCTCTCCCTCTCTCTCATTCATTCAGCCTAGCTGGATGCGTGCACATTCACGTGCTGAGGGTCCATTCAATCTTCAAACTGAGAAGAGTGGCCAATACTTTGTCTGGCGAGTGTCGGAAGACCTTCGCTGGATCGGAGGTTCATCACTGTGACATGGCTTTGGATTTGGCCTTGACATTGGTCTACCTGGAGGTAAGTGTGCAAGCTAAAAACCTTCAGATCTATACGATTTCCCATGCCCATCGTTCCAGGATCTCAACGGCCAAGTGGAGGCAAAGCCAGAGCTGCGTGAGCAGCGCGCTGAGACTCTCCTTGAACTAGAGCGTGTGCAGAATGCAACATCACATGAAAGCCCTCCTTGCTTTCATGTTGGTGTTGCAGTCTGTTTTGGATAGACGCGGTCGTGTTCAGGCGCTGCCGCGATGCCTTCAATCTAATCTGCTCCCTTGGCCGCAAGTCCGTGGTTGTCGTCACCCTACATAGCGCAAGCAAGGTTACATGGCATTTCTCGCCCATGCCTTCAACTCGGACCGTCCGATTCGACTCGCCGACTGGTTCGAGCCTCGGGGTCCGCGGATTTGTGTAGCAATCTGCTCCTGTGAGAAGCCTTGACCCCACCGGCAGTAGAGTCAAGATGGCGCAGGCGAGCGCAATTGCTTTCAGAAGCGGGAAACCTCAAACTTTTGAGTGGTGGCCGCCGTGGTCGCCTACCATGTGGCGCATGTGCTGGCAACATGCGAAATCAAGCCTAGCTTGCTGCAGCAAATGACTTGGAAATGGCAACTGGCCACTGGTCAAAACGTGGATGCCCTAGCCATCCAGCATGCCATGTTCAATCAGGCCCATGTGCAGATGTAAATCTGGTGCATAGCTTTCATCATTTTGTAGGTCGTATTGTAAGGAGCACAGGTCGTGGCTGCACAGTCTCAGCAATGCCATAACTATAATTAATGAACGCTTGCCCGCATTGCAGCTACGGCCATAACCATGCCTGGTATAATTGGCAGGGAGGTCCTTGAAACATGGGCTCCACGAGATGCAGTGCTGAAGACTCCCGCGTTTGCACATGAGCTACTCCAAAAGCTTGAGCTGAGGCAATGAAACAGCAACGTTCTGATGCCCCGAAAGTCTATGTGAGTCGCGGTAAAAATTGCTGTTTACTTCATTTAGTCTAGGCGCTAGTTGTTGCGCAAACATCCCCAAGATCGACAGGGGACGTCCTAAAACATAGGCTTATTTCATTAAGCTAGGGTTAAGAGAAGATCCTCAAAACGTGGAAATCGATAGGGGACGCCCTAATTCAAAAACCAAGAGAGAACAAACAAGTAACCTTGACGCCGTGTCATGTGGCAACTGCCAACAGTCGCCTCGTGCAGCACTCCAAGATATTCGCCTTGAAGAACTGCTCAGGTTCAAAGAGATCGGCTGGCGATCTTTCAAGAACTGTTGGGCACCTGAATTTCTGAGAGGCTTTGCCAATGAGCCACTCCAACTTTTGCTTTCTCAGGTCATCAGCTGAACGCCTACGTGTTCTTCCTTTTCTCACAGGCTGTCGTTCTCTGGAGTTCTCAACCACATGGAGTCAAGATTTGCTTTGCCTTCTCTCACATCTAATGAAAGCATAGCATCTCTACCCAAGAAATCGGAGGTCCGTGGTTTCAAGCTTCGCGTCAACGAAAGTCAGGTGAAGAGGTGTGGCCCTTCTTTCTTCGCCTGACTGATCAGAGGCTGGATGTATGCTGGATTGGAGGTACATTCAGAAACTTTGCAGCGTCCCAAGCCAAGCGCAGACTACCTCCTGAATTCCCTGGCTCAACAGGGGTTCTATAGGGATTATAATATATAGGGGTATATATAGGGGTTATGCAGAGGTTTCATATAGGGGTATGTATAGGGGTTATGTTAGGCTAGGGCTGAATTCCCTGAGTTCCGAGCGGAGCTGTTTGCATGTTTCCCCTGACCGGCAAAGTGCTCAGCACAGCGAAAAGAGGTGCTTGTGCGACTCTGCCCAAGTTTGGGGCGCTTGCACACGTTCCATGTCGAGGTGTCGTTTGCTGCTGTGGGTCCATATTTGGCCCCTGCATCTTTCTAGCAAACTTTCGCCTCAGTATCCTCAGTCCAAAAAGGCCATCCTAATGAAAGCTGGGGATATACAACAAGTAAAGAGAAACACCTAGGCTGCAATCTTGGTCGACAACTCATGAATCTGTAGTTCAGTGTCACTTGGCCACTACATCCCAACGCCTTGACAGCACTCAGCCATTCATGCCGGCTTTCCTGGAGGAGGTCGATTTGTCCGGGCCTTGGGTGAAAGGTTAAGCAAGGAGGCTATCGGCACAACATTTTTTCGAAGGCCCAATGTTGCCCTCCGTGCCAGTCAGTGGAAGCTGCTGCAGGAGGCAGCATGAATGTCCATGTGTGAAAACTGCTTGATAACATATGCATCCGCAGGGCTACCGGGCGGGCTACCACGCAGGCTTGCAGCACACGAGGCAGGTGAGCCTGAGCACACCATCTAGGCCTTCGAGCACCAATGCGGAGGCCTCAGTTCAACAAGCCGCCGCCCAGCAGTTGGCCAGAATTTCTCAGATTTCAGACGTGTTGCAGGCTGAGGCATGGCTGGTGCTGGTGGTGCTGCTGGCGGCCTGTTGCTTCCTCGTCTTCAAGGCTCTCGCACTGGTTCACTGCTTTTTCGTGTCCGGTGACGAGCGACGGCTTGCGAGGTGTGGTCCTTCAAGACCCGAAGAGACCAGGACTGGGGCTTTTGACGTGCGTGTGTGGGGAGGTTAAAACTTTTGGCGCATGCGTGTGGGGTTCGAGGATGAAGTGGAGCTGCAGACGTTGGGCGACCTCCAGGCAAGTTAATCATGGAATGGTCCTGAATGTTTGGAGCTTCATCTTTGCCCGTCATTCCCGTCATCTCCAAGCAACACTGTCGCTGGTGCAAAGTGCACGTCCAGAGACAAGCAACATTGTGCAGCTTTTCCGTTTTTTGCCAGCATGCTGACTTATCCGAGAAGGCATTAACGCACGTTGCTGATGAGGGCTTGGCGTCACTGCGGCAACGTGGGATTTACAAGGTGTGTGGGGGTGGTCGGCGCAGCGTTGTGTCTGCGTTCCGAGGCCACTGTGCGATAGCTGCTAGCTGATTCGTGAAGTCGTTGGCGTTTCGCGCAAACATTGGGCCGCTGTGTACTTTGGGTTAGGGACAACAAGTACGGGCACTGTGCGTGCACAGCTGTGGAATGTCAGGATTTTGTGATTGCTCACCGGAATGCCTCGGAGGCCGTGCGTCTCATGGAGGAGGGCCTCGTCTCTCACAACTTTGAGTCCTCAGCTGCAGCCCAAGAGCGATGAGTCCTATAGCTATAGGAAGTGTGTGTGATGCTCATGTTTCCTGGCCAGGTTGCGGGTGATCCGCTGGGGCTGGCGCAGCAGGCGCGCATTTCAAACATAGTCGATCCTGCGGTTGCAGTATCAACTCGTGCAGTGACTGGCACTTCAGTTCCCTGCTCCCATGGCTTCTTTCCCCTGCGAAACTGCTTCAACGCGAGCCCAAATTCAAATTGGAAGAAGGGAAGCCTGACGCGGTTGGCTGGGACCTGTCATGGTGAGGGTCTGTGCCAGCGCGTTCTGCGAAGGATAGGGCCTGCGATTGTTCTGTGTGCACTTGCTCGGGAAGCTGCCGGTCAACGCGCTTGCACGCTCGCGTCACGCCCGTGCTTCCAGCACAGCAGACATCACCAGTAGAAGCCACAGTGCTTTTTTGTGTGTCGGCAACGATCGCAAGCTTTTGGGGGCTAAGCATTGTGCTTGTGGTGGTCAACAAGACGAAGCCATCGGAAAACAAGTCTGCGTGGTGTGTTTGCAGGGTTCGCCATGGCAACTAGTAAGTCAGGTCACGATGTAATTAACGGGAACTTGTGAGAGCTGATGCCGACCTTGTCGGCGTGGTTTTTGGGCGGTGGGAATCTAAAGTTAAGTGTGTTGCGGCTTGGAAGTTGTCAGATTGTGGAGATTCGTGGGTAGCAAGTGCAGCGCTCAGGGCTATATTCTGCAGCCAGCAGTTGACCAGCAGCCCACCCGTTTCCAGGGGCGGAGAAGGGCGGAGAGTCATGAACGGCATGCCATGATTTCAGATGCCAAGGCGTAGGATGTTGCTGCGATTGCCGCTGGAACAGCTTGCAGGCTCCGCACTTGATCATGGAGGGCGACGTGGAGCAGGGCCTCATCTCGCCCAGTTCCGAAGCCTCTTCAGCGTTGGCCCTAGAGAAGGACGATGAGTCCAATTGGCAGGTGTTTGTTGCTCACGTTTCCAGGCTGCGGGTGATCCACCAGGTCTGTCGCAGCAGGCGCGCTTTTCAGACATAGTACATTCTGGCGTCGGAGATCCTGCGCAAGTCTTCCCAGAGCTTCAACTCGAGCCCATCTTCAAATTGGAACACAGAAGCCTTGACGCGGTTGGCTGGGACCCGCCAAGGTAATAGTATCAACTTCATGCACAGTTCGCGCTTTTTTGTGCATTTACGTGCCCGCATTGTTGCCTACGTGACTGTATGATTTCAGCTGGATTTCCAAGCTCCAACCATCCAAAGCCCTTCCAGAAATTCGTATCTTTGTGCCTCCATCTTGGGCGGCTTACGCTCTCCTGCTCTACCGCTGCCATTCCCTTCTTTTGGAAACCCACCCGTTTCGTGCAAAATTGTGCGGTACCTTAGATTGGGATGCGTCGCTGCGGGCTGCGGGATGTTGGCATGTTGATGTGATTGCTGCCTGGAATAGCTTGGAGGCGCGCTTCATGGAGGAGGGCGATTCCGGAAATTCCTCAGCTGCCCACCCCCACCCCCACCCCGACCACCGCCGGCGCCGCGGCAGCGGCTACTTGTAGAACATGCCAGACAGAACGGTGTAGCTCTGAAGTCGTACAGTCCCTGTGGTACCCCAGTGCTTCCGTTGTTTTGTCTCCCATGGAAGGCTTTCTCAGCTTCTGAGTTTGCGGTTTTTTGTGCTTTCAGGCAAGGATTCAGAATCCCTGCCATACTGCGAGCCAAATTTCGAATCGGAAGATTAGAACACTGGCGCAGTTGGTCGGTTGGGTGGGACACGGTGGGACCTGTCATGCAGAGGGTTTCTAGCCCTGAGATTGTTCTCGGGAAGCCAGCACGAGGCAGACACCATGATAGGGTCACACCCATACATCCGGCGCAGCGCATTCGCATCAATTGAAGCCATGGAACCTGACGTACATGCTCCGAACAAAGCATCTGTTGAAGAGGTCCTGCAGAAACAAAAGCGTTACTTGTAGTTGTTGTAGTGGAGCAAACAGCAACTGGGGTCGACTTGGTCGACGCAGAGCTGATTTCGAGGATATTTGAGGTTGCAAACTTGGAAGTTGTTCTCTTGTGGGGTTTCGTGCAAGCACAGGCACAGGCTACCTTGATGCGCAGCTGCGGGATGGTGGCATGTCCTTGTGATTGCTCTGCGAAAGACTGTAGTCACTGTAGTTTGGAGGCGCGCTTCGTGGAGAGCAACTCTGGAGCTTCGTCAGCGGCAG